TTTAGATAGCGCATTACTCTTTCCAGAGCCTGCCAATGATCATGTCCCGGATTTGAGACAAACCGGCTCAGCTTGCTTACAGCAAATGAGATGTCAGGCCTCGTTGCACTAGCCAAGTACATCAATGAACCAATGATTTGAGAGTATCTCAGTTGATCCCTTGCTATTCTTCGGTTTTTCCTTAATAGCACGCTGGGATCATAAGGAGTAGGAGCTGGCTTGCAGTCACTATATCCAAAGCGACTCAAAACCTTGTCCACATAGTGGGATTGCACAAGTGTAATCCCACCCTCATCTCCTATTTGTAGTTTGATGTTAAGAATAACATCAGCCTCTCCCAAATCCTTTATTTCAAAACTCTTGGACAGATAGTCCTTGACCTCCTCAATCACATTAAGGCTGGTCCCAAAGATCAATATGTCATCGACATATAGGCACAAGATCACTCCTTCTCCCCCACCATAGCGATAGTACACACATTTGTCAGTTTCATTCACAACAAAGCCTGCAGATGTAAGCGTGGTGTCAAACTTCTCATGCCATTGCTTAGGTGCTTGCTTGAGGCCATACAAGGATTTCAACAATTTACACACCATTCCCTCCTGACCTTCTAGTACATACCCGTCTAGTTGATCCATATAGATCTCCTCCTCTAGCTCTCCGTTTAGGAAAGCTGTCTTAACGTCCATCTGATAGACGAGAAGACCATGAGAGGCTGCCAGAGCAAGTAGTACTCGAATCGTGGTCAAGCGAGCAACTGGTGAGTATGTGTCGAAGAAGTCCTCGCCTTCCTTTTGGGTATAACCCTTGGCCGCAAGTCTTGCCTTGTACTTTTCAATTGTACCATCAGGTATAAGCTTTTTCTTGAAAACCCATTTGCATCCTACGGGCTTGCACCCATATGAAAGCTCAACGACTTCCCAAGTACCATTAGACATAATCGAGTCCATTTCACTGCGTACTGCTTCCTTCCAGTAGTCAGCGTCAGGAGATGAATATGCCTCTTCTATGGTTCTTGAGGTGTCATCCACGAGGTATACAATGTAGTCATCTCCAAAGGATTTTGCAACCCTTTGTCTCTTACTCTTGCGAGTATCTACAATGTTGTCCTCCTCAGGATTTTCCTCAGGCGTTTGATCATTGTGTTCTACCGGTGCAAAGTGCTCATGGGGCATGACAGTTTCTTTACTAGAAGTGCTAGGTGTATGTTTCATGGGAAATTCATTCTCAAAGAATGTAGCATCTCTGGACTCAAGAATTGTACCAACATGCATGTCGGGTACACCAAAGTTTACTATTAAGAATCTATAACCCACACTGTGAATAGCATAACCAAGGAACACACAATCAACAGTATTTGGTCCAAGTTTCCGCTTTTTGGCTATAGGTACATTTACCTTGGCCAAACAGCCCCATGTTCGTAGGTATGAGAGATTTAATTTCTTCCTTTCCCATTCCTCGAATGGTGTTACTTCCTTATGCTTCATTGGAATTTTATTCAGGACATGATAGGTGGTCAAAACTGCCTCACCCCACCATTCCTTGGAAAGCCCTGAAGTGTCTAACATGGCATTCACCATCTCAGTTAGAGTACGGTTCTTTCTTTCGGCCACCCCATTTGATTGGGGTGAATAGGGAGGTGTCCTCTCATGAATAATTCCAAACTCTTCGCAAAATGATGCAAACTCATTGGAAAAATACTCCCCACTTCTATCAGACCTCAACCGTTTGATTTTCCTTTCAAGTTGGTTTTCTGCCTCAGCTTTATAGATTTTAAAGTAATGCAATGCCTTATCTTTTGTTTTCAATAGATACACATAGCAAAATCTAGTGCAATCATCTATCAGTGTCATGAAATATTTCTTTCCCCCTTTAGTCAACACGTCGTTCATTTCGCACAAATCGGAATGAACAAGTTCTAGAGGTGCCAAATTCCTCGCCTCAGATGACTTGTGAGGCTTGCGAGGTTGTTTCGATTGGATGCAAGTATGGCACTTGGAACCTTTGACCAAAGTAAATTTTGGAATTAAACTCATGTTAGCTAAGCGCGTCATACAACCGAAATTCACATGACAGAGTCACGAATGCCACACATTAGACTCATCATTCTCGCTAATATGGTTCACAGCATTATGATTATTACACATGTCATTCAAAGAAAAGCGGAACAAGCCTCCGCTGTCATAACCTTTTCCAACAAAAGTCCCATATTTAGATACGACACATTTATTGGACTCAAACACAAGTCTAAAACCTTCTCTACCCAATAGAGCCGCTAACAAGATTCTTCTTTATTGAAGGGACATGCTGCACGTTCTTCAGCTGCACGGTCTTTCCCGAAGTAAACTTCAGATCGACCGTACCAACACCATGAACAGCCGCAAGCGACCCGTTTCCCATCAACAAGGAGGAACCTCTCCCGACCTGATAAGAAGAAAACAGAGAAATGTCAGCACATACATGAATATTAGCACCAGTGTCCACCCACCAATCAGGTAAGTGAAGAACAGAGAGAACTGTAGGTAATATTTTACCGTACCCCGATGTTCCTCCGCCCTCGCTAATGACCATGTTGGCAGACTTCCTGTCTTTGCGCTCAGGACAGTCCTTGGCCCAATGCCCTGACTTGCCACACACAAAGCAGTCTCCCTTTGCCTTTCCCTTGCCTTTCTTCTTAAAGTTGGTTGCAGCCTTGGGTTTGACATCAGGTTTGACTTTCTTGTTGTTGTGGGATGCATGAGGGTTCTTCTTCTGTACCATATTGGCACTAGAACCTCCCTCAACCTTTTTGCCCCGAACGTCCTTTGCCCTCGCCTTCTTCTCAACACCCAAAGAGCCAATGAGATCAGAAACACTGAACTCTTGTCTCTTGTGCTTTAGAGAAGTGGCAAAGTCCGACCAAGAAGTTGGCAGTTTGGCAATAATGCCACCCGCCACAAACTTGTCCGGCAACTCACAGTTGTTGTTCTCAAGTTTCTTAGCCAGCATCTGAATCTCATGAGGTTGGTCTACTACAGAACGGTCATCGACCATCTTGTAGTCATAGAACTGCTCCATGACATACAGCTCACTGCCGGCGTCAGAAACTCCGAACTTGGCCTCAAGTGCATCCCACATGTCCTTCCCGGAAGGCATGTGCATGTACACGTCCACTATATTGTCAGCGAGTACACTGATCAATGCTCCACGGAACAGGCAATCCAAAGCCTCGAACTTAGCCTCTTCCTCAGGAGAAAGAGGTGGTTCACTTCGTTTGCCCCGTGAAACATAGAAGTACTGCATCGCTGTCAACCACAATAGTGCACATGCTTTCCATCTCTTATAGTTAGAACCATCAAAAGCATGTGGTTTCAGTGCAGCAGCAAAGCCAACTACCGAAAATGACCTATCAGGTTTTTGGATTGTTGGAAATATAGTCATGAATCGGCATATTTTAATCCAAAATGTTAAAACAATAATCATGGCATAAGCGGTGTAGGGTGATCTTAACATAACCAGTAGCATACTATGCGTATCATGAATGTCAGGAACAGGAATATTACAGTAACGCAATAACATGCTAGAGGCATCATGAAGTAGCATACTATGCGCATCATGAATGTCAGAAACAGGAACATTACAGTAACGCAATAACATACTAGAGGCATCATGAATGTCAGGAACAGGAACATAGCGCACATAATAATAAAGCGATAGCGCTAACAAAGGGAACAGGAGAAGGATATACCCCAAGAATGGCCCTCCGCTGGATTGTGAGGCAGAATTGTCTCCGTTGATGTTGTCGTTCGCGGCACCGGCTCCAGCTCCTGGCGCACCACCTCTGCCATCTCCTCCAGCAGCGGCGGTGGCAACTCCAGACATGGCGAGCAGTCGTGCGGGAGGCACTCCCCAAAAACCTGATCACCCGCCTACCCGGTGCAGATCTCAGGCGAAGATGTGGTTTCGGAGGCACTGGTCCTTCCAATCTCTCGTGCGCGCAAGAGATCAGAAGCGAGGAAGCGATAACAGCACTGGCGCGGAGGAGGAGGAACTAACACCGAGAAAGAAGCAAGCGTGTGCGCGCAAGAGATCAGAAGCGAGGAAGCGATAACAGCACTGGCGCGGAGGAGGAGGAACTAACACCGAGAAAGAAGCAAGCGTCCGGAACCGATCGGACTCGCGGCCTCCTTATCTATCAGGAGAGAGAGGCAGTCGTGGGAACGTGGACGCGCTGTTGCGGAGACAGTCGTGGGAACGTGGTTAGTGGCTGTAAAAGAATAGCGACGTGACGCACGCCAGCCTCGGCCTCGGCGCGCGCGCGCGCAAGTGTGGCATTCCGACCCCCACCTCAACCAGTCAACATGGGGCCTCCAATAACTCCCTATTTAGGTTGAGATATTCCTCGCTTAAATCCTGAGGTGGTATTATTATGCTTAACACTTATTATGGGCCTTTGAGATTTAATAGGGTAAGTTGGGCCTAGCCCAATTATTCTAACAGTCAGATCCCCATTGGAATTGGTTCCCTCAAGAAACTTGTCACTCTTGATTTTTCCCGTAATTATGGGTTATATTTTGTTAAGCCAAGCTTTCAAACTGTTATGGCAAATCTAAGCAACCTAAGGGAGCTCCATCTTGATGATGTGAACATTTTAAGCAGCCGATCAAGTTGGTCACTTATTCTAGCAGACAACACTCCTCAGCTAGAGATTCTTAGCTTATCTCAGTGCGGTATATCTTGTTCTATTCACTCTTCCTTCTCAAGGCTTCGTTCATTAAAGATAATCGATCTTAGCGTCAATTGGGAACTCAACGGTAAAGTTCCAGAGTTCTTTGCTGAAATATCTTCTTTGAGCATTCTTGACATTTCGGACAATTCTTTTGAAGGGCAGTTTCCAACAAAAATCTTCCACCTAAAAAGTTTGAGAACGCTTGATTTGTCTATGAACACAGATCTTTCTATTAACCTACCAGAATTCCTAGATGGAAATAATCTAGAAACGTTATCTCTAACATGGACAAATTTACCTTATCATACACCGTCCTCATTTGCCAATCTCAAGTCTCTGAAGAGTTTGGCTATTAGCACAACAGGAACCTCCAAGGAGCTTCTTCCCTCTCTAATAGGTGAGCTTCCTTCATTGAAAGAACTGGAAATGTGGGGATCGGAATGGAGCATGGAGAAACCGGTATTGTCTTGGGTAGGCAACCTTAAGCAACTGACAGATTTGACTCTTGGCTCGTATGACTTTTCTCAGTCAACACCCTCCTGGATAGGCAATTTGACGAGTTTGGCAACTTTGGAGATGTGGGGCTGCAATTTGTCTACATCTATACCTCATCAGATTGGTAATCTCGCAAATTTGACAAGCTTGAGGTTCGAGGATTGCGACTTCTTTGGGCAGAAAATACCGTCGTGGATCGGCAACTTTACAAAGTTGAGGGATTTACGGATAGACAACTGTGGCTTATCTGGGCCGATACCCTCGACAATAGGGAATCTGACCCAACTCGAATATTTGATTATCAGGTCTAATGACCAGCTGAACGGTAAGACAATACCACGACTGCTTTTCTTACTTGATTCATATATGGAATTTCAGTTAAATACATCCATAAAATAACTCACAAATATATCTCTCCACATATTATCGTATATAAATATCTTACATTATGGCTATATACATCCACTCGTAAATATAGAGATCGGATTTTTATACATTATCTTAAAAATTTATATCTTATATTAGTGATATACATACATGAGTCCTGTTTACGTGCCATATCTCCTAGAGGCTAGAGGGCCTTAAACGCAGTACGTAAATGATAGGACATGCGACTTCTACACCAGGTATATATAGATTGCAAGCATATATAAAATACAAAACCTTATATTTTGCTATGCTGGCATTATTTTTATACTTCCTCTGTTTCACAATATAAGTCATTCTAGCATTTCCCACATTCATATTGATGTGAATGAATTTAGACATATATATCTATCTAGATTCATTTACATCAATATAAATATGGGAAATGCTAGAACGACTTACATTATGAAACGGAGGGAGTACAAAATTATCGCTCCAATGCTGATATCACACCTTCCATCTACAGTAAATTGATGGTGTCTATTTTCGCACTTCTGAACAAATTTCAATCTATCATGTGCGTGCTGACTTATGGTCTCTTGGAGCTAAAACAACATCTTTTCGACTAGTATTATACCCTTGCATGCAGGAAAAATTCCACAATCGTTGTTCACTCTTGCTGGATTGAAACACATTGACCTTAGTGCAAATCAACTTTTTTTGTTCTCTGGAAGACATTGCTTCCCCCTTCAACTTCACCTTTGCAGGTAGAGATGGCAATGGGCCCCGTTCACCGTTTTCCCGCGGTGAATTTACCTATTAGGTGACGGGGATGGTTCATATATATCCACCATAGTGAATGAAATGGTTAATATGTATTCACCATCGGGGATGACGGGGGCGGGGACGGTGCACCATTCCCTGTCCCCACCCCCGTGGTGACCCGACTTCACTGTATAGAGGACTGATTTTAGACTTTTTAGATATTTTGGCCCATAGTATTGAAGCCCAACTAACAGGGGTATATAAAGCCAAACCCTAGTCAACATCCAAATCCTCCAATCCAGATCGAGAAAAACCACGCCGTCGGCTCCTACGGCTCTCCGCTGCAGCCTGCAGCCACGGGCGCCGCTGGCCCGCCGCTGTCTCACCCCTTCCGTCGGGCGTCGACGCGCCGCGCGCCGCCACCTCCTCTCGCGAGCGCCGCCGCTGTCCTGCTCCCTCTGTCGCGCGTCGACGCGCCGGCGCCGCCGGCGTCGCGCTGCCCGGCGCCTGCGTCCGTCGACGGCTCGACGCGGGCGTGGCGCCAGCAGCCGCACTCGCGCGGCCGGGAGCTGTCATCGCCGGGAGCACGCCATCCGCCGGGAGCCGCCATCACCGGGATCACGCCATCCGCCGGGAGCCGCCATCACCGGGAGCCGCAACGATGCAAGGTGAGGAATAATAGTTGATCCATGACTATTATTCCACGGGGACGGGGTCACCACGGGGAAAAAATCACCGCACGGTGATCGGGGCTGGTGAAAATATACCACCGTAGTGGTTGACGGGGGTGGGACGGTGAAATTTTTTCACGGCGGTGACGGGGACGCGGATGTGACCCCCGAGGTGAATTCATCATTGCCATCTCTATTTGCAGGGTATCCTGTTAAATTATAGTCAACTGACAGACCCGAGAACCAAATCATTTTTCCAGCTTACATATCGTAACTATCCCAGCCTTAAGTCAAATAAGTTGACAGCCACAATGCAACTTAGCTCTATCTGGAGGATCAAGAGTATCTCTTACCTAAGACTGTCAAATAAATTGATATCACTCATGGATGATAAAGGTGAAAGGGTCACATCTCTTCCTAACATCAACTACTTGTGCCTTGCATCTTGCAGCCTTACAAAATTCCATGCATTAAGGTATCTTGATGCAATTTTGGAACTTGACCTTGAGAGTAACCAAAACACTCGAAACGCTCGAAATAATGGACTCGTATAGTACTCCTGGTTGGACTGTTGACATGGAAAAAAAAACTGTCATCACGCCCCATTTGATAAAAAAGGATACCCACGAGTAATCCCATTTAGTCAATTCACAAGTTGCTGCATTAAATCACACCCACTCGTCAAGTTTGTGTACTAATGATGCAATTTACTCTAAGATTCATTTTAGGGTTAATTGGATCCATGCCGCTGCAAATATGCCAATTCGAAAAAATGCCACTACTATTCAGTATATCGGCTACGTGCCACTGGAATTTGGGGAAATTGGAACCATGCCACTCCCATCCAGTTTTTTTTGTTAACCTCCGTCATCTCTCTCCCTCTTCCTTTCTTCGCTTCTCCGCCATGGATGCCGGCGAGCCCTCCACCTCGGACTCGCTGGTCCTTGCCACTGTAGCTAGCCAGCGATCCCCCCTCTCCATCTCTCGCTGCTCCTCCGCCAGCAGCCGCTGCGACCCATCTGTTCCTCGTTGTCCCCGCCGGCGGACGCGGCACCCTCGCCGCCGGGGAGCTTCTCTACCATGGACGCCGGCGAGCCTAGGAGGGCAACGGCTGAGGGGAATCGGCGGCCGGGGAACCGAGTGCGAAGCGCGGTGGGACGAGCGGCACGGAGGAAGGAGATGGAAGCGAGCGTGTTAGGGACGACGACCACTGGTGGAGAAGTGCTTTTTAGTCCCGGTTCGTAACCCCCCTATAGTTCCGGTTTTCAAACCGGGACTACCAATCCGGGACTAAAGATCGCTATCTTTAGTCCCGGGTGAAAAAACCGGGACTAAAGATCGATCTTTAGTCCCGGTTGATGACACCAACCGGGACTAGTCCCGGTTGGTGTCATCAACCGGGACTAAAGAGAGGGTAGCGGCAGTCCATCAGCTAGTCCTTTTTTCTTTTTTATTTTCTCCCGAATCGAGTGGTATGCATATCATCAAATCAAACCCCAAATCCACATCACAACTCCACAGCACGATTCACAGATTCACCACAAATTCATTCACAATATCCATTCACATATTCATTCACAACATCACAAATATATTCACAATATTGATTCAAAGGTTCATTGACAACATCGAGTCACATACTCATTCACAACATCACAGATTCATTCACAATATCGATTCATAGATTCATTCACAGATCAAAACATCCAAACCACAAATTAAAAAAAATCAAAAAAAAAAATCGACTCACTGGCCGGCCTCCCATCCCGCCGTCGGCCGGCCACCCATCTCGCCGCTTCCCCTCCGGCCGGATCTGGGGGAGGGGAGGGCGAGGCCGCCGGCGACCGGCCTCCATCCCGCCGGCCCGCGCCGGGCCGCCGCCGGCCGTCCTCCATCCCGCCGCTTCCCCTCTGGCCGGATCTGGAGGAGGGGAGGGCGAGGCTGCCGGCGACCGGCCTCCATCCCGCCGGCCCACGCCGGGCCGCCGCCGCCCGTCCTCCATCCCGCTGGCCCGCGCCCGGCCGCAATCCCGCCGCCGCCAGCCGGCCGCCGCCAGCCCCAGCCCGCACCTGGCTGCCGCCAGCCCGCGCCCGGCCACCTCCATCCCGCCACCGCCGGCCGGCCGCTGCCAGCCCGCGCCCATCCCCCATCCTGCCGCCGTCGGCTGCCTCTGCAAGAGGAAGAGGGGGAGGGGAGGAGGAGAGGGGGTGAGAGAAGAGGAAGGGGAGAGGATGAAGATAAGGAAGGAGAAGAAAAAGAGATAAGGATGGGCTACGCATGCGCTTGTGCGTGGGCTGGTGCGTACGCTTTATTCCCGGTTGATATTATCAACCGGGAGTAAAGATCATCTTTAGTCCCGGTTGGTAACACCAACCGGGACTAAAGATACTGAGACTAAAGATCCCAGGGATCTTTACTCCCGGTTGATAATATCAACCGGGACTAAAGATCCTATCTTTAGTCCCGGTTGGTGTTATCAACCGGGACTAAAGATATCGGGGGGCCTGACAAGGCCTGACAGATTTAGAACCGGGACTAAAGATCATTTTTAGTCCCGGTTGGTAACACCAACCGAGACTAAAGATCAAATATGCCCGCTGTAGCCACCAACCGGGACTAAATATCATCTTTAGTCCCGGTTTTTAGTGGAACCGAGACTATTGTGGATTTCGGGCGACCGACCAAAGATGGTTTCTCCACCAGTGGACGCGGCGATGGGCGGGGTGGCGACCGGCACGGGGGCAGTGGCCAGGGGCCTCGCCGGGGGAGCGGACGACGACGATGCAGGCGTAGCCCGGCTAGCCAGCTCCGAGACGAGGCGCTCAACGAATGGTGCTACGACAGTCTCCTCATCGAGCCCCCGTGGCTTGGTGCTGCGAATCACCTTGCGCAGGCACGATGGGCTCGTCGGCCTCACTGCCCACGCCGCCACCGCCAGCGCGGCCATGTCACCCATCGCCGCGAGATCGACGAGATGATGGCAATGACACCTCTTGCCGCATCTATGGTGGTGGAGAGAGAGGAAGGGGAAAGAGAAGAGAGGGGAGGGAGGTGGGGCCCATGTGCAGTTGCGGGGTAACGGGGATTTTTGTCGGAAAATATGATGGAGTGGCATGGTTCCAATTTCTCCAATTTTCAGTGGTACATAGCCAATATGCTGAATAGTAGTGGCATTTTTTCGAATTGGCATATTTCCAGTGGCATGGATCTAATTAACCCTTTATTTTAAGATGTTTTAGTGGATATAGCTAGCATTGCGCTATATAAAATACAATTGTATCTATAAAAAATGGTTGAGTGTATAAATATTTTAAAATAAATTTTAATCTAGCCCGCGCAATATTACATGGAAAATCTGCCTTAGTTCGGTTAACTCAAAAGAATGAACTGTCTTGGTTAAAGTGTTCCCTAACTTATAGTTTTGATGAATTTTGATGAATGTTTGCCCATGCATGCAGGAAAAATTCCACAATTGTTGTTCACTCTTTCGGGGCTGAAATATGTTGAAGTTATTGGAAACCAGCTATCTGGTTCTCTAGAAGACATCCCTTCTCCTTTAACTTCATCTTTGTCATCAATTGACTTAAGCGACAATCAACTATCGGGCCCGATACCCAAATCATTTTTCCAGCTTACAAATCTTAATTATCTCAATCTTGGATCGAATAAATTCATAGGCTCGGTTGAACTTAGCTCTGTCTGGAAGCTGAAGAATCTTGATTTCTTAAGCCTGTCAAACAATTTGATATCACTCATAGATGATGAAGGTGAAACAGTGTCCCCTTCTCTTCCAAACATTAGATACTTACACCTGGCATCTTGCAAACTTACAAAAATTCCAGGCACACTAAGATATCTTGATGCGATTTCGGACCTTGACCTTTCAAGTAACCAAATTACCGGGGCAATACCAAGGTGGATATGGGAGAATCGAACGTACCAGCTCAATAGTCTGAATCTCTCGCACAACATGTTTACTACTGTGGAGCAGTCTCCTTCTCTTGTTAATATCGCATATTTAACTTATCTTGACCTCAGTTTCAATAGACTTCAAGGAATCATACCAATACCAGTAACCACATCCAGTGAGATCGCATTGGACTACTCAAACAACCACTTCTCTTCAATAGTACCGAACTTTGGCATATATCTTGAAAACGCCAGCTATATTAATTTCTCCAATAATAAACTAAGTGGCAATGTACCATCTTCGATTTGTAATGCAAGCAAAGCCATTATCACGGACTTATCTGGCAACAACTACAGTGGATCAGTACCAGCATGTCTTACAGGAAGTGTAAACTTAAGCGTATTGAAATTGAGAGACAACCAATTCCATGGGGTGTTACCTAACAATAGTAGAGAGGGGTGCAATCTTCAGTCAATAGATGTGAATGGAAACCAAATTGAAGGTAAACTACCTAGATCACTATCATACTGCCAAGATTTGGAGCTCCTGGATGCTGGAAATAATCAGATTGTTGATTCTTTTCCATTTTGGTTGGGTAAACTTCCAAATCTCCGAGTCCTTGTCTTAAGATCCAACAAAATAAATGGTACAATAAGGGGTCTTAAAAGTGGTTACCAAAATAGTGATTATTTCACAAGGTTGCAAATAATTGATTTGGCCTCCAATCATTTATCTGGCAACATACATTCAGAATGGTTTGAACATTTGCAATCAATGATGAATGTAACTGATGACGACCAAATATTAGAGTATCGTACGAAAGCAAGTATAAAATCGCTCTATCAGGATAATACGGCTGTCACTTACAAAGGGAACACTCTTATGTTCACTAAAATCCTGACCACCTTCAAAGCAATTGATCTCTCAGACAACTCATTTGGTGGTCCTATTCCAAAGTCAATGGGGGAAGCTTGCTTCACTACATGGATTTAACCTGTCCCACAATGCCTTCACAGGACAAATTCCATCACAGCTTAGTTCTTTGACTCAGCTGGAGTCATTGGATCTCTCTTGGAACAAGCTCTCAGGGGAAATCCCTCTACAGTTAACCTCTCTAACCTCTCTTGCTTCGTTGATCTTTCATACAACAACTTGACTGGAAGAATACCGCAGGGCAACCAGTTTGGGTCATTTAGCAGCAGCTCGTTTGAAGGCAATGCCAACCTCTGTGGAAAGCCGTTGTCTAAACAATGTGATACTCCAGGCTCAACATCTCGAAATGCATCAGCTACTTCAGAAACCAGCAGTTTCTGGCAGGACAGACTTGGCGTGATCCTTTTGTTCTTCTTTTCTGGCTTGGGGTTCACAGTGGGCTTCATATTGGCGGTCTGGTTCCAATCATTCTTCCACATAGAACGATGGACTCACAAGCATTGATGACTGTTAGTATACTGTATACACTATGTATGGTGTTTATCCACCCAAGGACATGATATGTGTGTATGTGTGTACTCGTAATTAGTGACAGGTGAAGTCCATTCTCTGTTGATAATAATGCATAATTTTGTGTATGTGATTACCAAAATAGTGGGGTAGTGGCGACATCTATAACTGTATAAGAAATGTGCTCTTTGCACTGACCTATGCGCTGGCACATTTCCTCGAACACCTGGTGCCCTGGTGGTGGTGATGGAAGAAGAGCGCGACGACGAGGCAACGAGCAGACCGACGGACAGTCGGACACGCTGTTCCTGGGACATCCCCATGGCGACCCCATTGAGAGCCGACTGCAAGATCTCAATATCTGCAACCCTGGATACCATCATCCTCTCTGCTTCGTCTCCGCCTCATCCTCACCCCTGACCCCTAACCATTCCGGCGAGGTCCAACCAAGAGGTGGTGGTTATCTCGGATTGGGATGTACGGCGTGTGGGGGGAGCGGGATTGGCAGAGTACTCCGAGTGGGATGTGGTGGAGGAGAAGGACGACGAGGGGTGGAAATCTCTCGGCAGCTGGCGGCGGCGGCGTAGGCGCGTAGTTACTCTAGGACGGCGCGCGTGTTGGGCAGGGGGTGTGTAGGCGGGAGAGAGATCGAGAGAGTATGACGCCCGCGGCGCACTACCTTCGGCTTCAAAGCAGATGCGGAGATGCATGCTAGACCGGGCTCAGAGCCCGTCCGTTTTCAGCCGCTACTGCCTTCGATCCGCTGTCTCACGTCTTCAATTCGTACGTGTCGCCGTCGAATTGGGATGAAGATATAGACAAATTTGATAATGTACCACGTCTTAGAGCAAGTTTAATAGTATGAGTCTCGCTCCGATGCTTTTTACTTGAGTAGAAATTAATCCGTGCCGTTGATCGTATTTAATCGTAGGGTTAAGATCTAATTCTACTCCCACTAGATTTTATTAGAGTAGAAATGTGGAGGGCTATATTTGTTCAGAGATAATAATTTGCGTAGGGGTATTATCGTAATCTGTCATTATCTAACTGTTCACCCTCTCTCTATCCTATCCTAATCGACACCATTCCTCTCCATTCGCCGTCGAAGACGAAGGCGAGCGTGTTTATCGTCTGCGTGCCAGCGACGAACCGATCGATTTGGAGACAATCGTCAGATATGTTGATGAGAAAAATGTTTACTAATCTCTGAAGATTAATCTGTTCTTACTTATGATGACCATCGTATCGGAACGTCTTTGTGGATGGTGCTGATGACGGCGGCGTCGCTGGTGAAAACGCCGCCGCCGAACTACATGCCAGCGGCGAGGAAGGCCGTCAGTCCAGCGCCGAGGACGATGGCGAGCTACAGCACGCGGGCAGTAGTCACCGCCACCTTGTAGTGATCCGCAAACGCGCTGGCAAGCAAGGCCTGAGGTTGATTGATCAATTTAAGCAAAGTTAATTAAGCAGCCATGCATATATCATCGGAATGTAGGCTAAGCTAGGTAGGTAGGTAGGTAGGTAGCTCACCTGGCCAGCGACGGCGAGGCCGTCGGCGAGGAGCGATGTGGCGAGCCAGACCTAGGCGCAGAGCTGGAACGCCGCCATGGCCGTCACGCCGTGGCGCGTCGCCAGCGACGCCGCCAGCGTCACGCAGAACGTCACGGCCACCACTCTCGTCCGGATATTAGGAGATTACTTACCTGCCCTTTAAAATAAACGGTCTAGATTAATTCTATTCGGAGTAGAATACTTCAAGTATATTGCACCAGAGCATCTCTCTAATAGTATAGCCAACTACTAGCTCCAAATCATCTATAGTCAATTTAATAGCCAATTCATACAATAGTTACATACTACACTATTAATATCTGGTCCCACCTGTCATACACACACTGTGTCTTGGTGTCCGTGCTACAGCTGGCTACAAATCTATAGCCCGCTGCTCTTCTCTCTTCTCTTTTATCTCCTTAAAATATATTTATAGCTGATTTATAGCCTGCTACTGTACCTGCTCTTACTGTCTTTTGTTTTTTTACCACTCTAATTCTCTAAAATTACTCCTTTGATAATATCACCCGCCATCAGGATCGCGATTTTTTTTTTCAAATTTTGTGCCACTTTCTCGTTGAGTAGGAAGGGGATGAACCCGTCGCTCCCCTTTGCCTGTCGCACAGCACGCGACCACCACCGAGGTCCGTCGCCGGCACCAGCTTTATCTGGCCAAAATAGTACTCCATCCGTTTCAAAATGTTTGACACATTTGACTTTTTAGCACATGTTTGACCGTTTGTTTTATTAAAATAATTTTGTGAAATATGTAAAACTATATGTGTACATGAAAGTATATTTAACAATGAATCAAATGATATAAAATGAATAAATAATTACTTAAATTTTTTGAATAAGACGAATGATCAAACACGTACTAAAAAGTCAACGGTGTCAAACATTTTGAAATGGAGGGAGTATTAGTAAGGCCTTTACATTGGCTGCGGCTTCACTGTTCCGTTGTTGTGTTTCCATCCGTGTTCCGTACCACGTGGAGGGCATCGGTTTGTCGATTCTTTTTGGTGGTGGGGTCGGCTTCTATCTGCCGTGCAGAATATGACGCCGTCACTACTCCGTCAAAACAAACCGGGTACTAGTACTTTTCACTCCGCGCTGCACAACTTGGAAAACCACTGCATCCTTATCTCTTGTCCCCAAATCAGAGAGTTCATCTGAAGTTCTGCTCATCTGCTACTCTCCTCATCTTCCTCTTGGCCGCACGCAACCATGGTTGCTCTCGCGTTGTCGGCGGCCGGGCTCGCCGGCTTGGCGTGGTCTGCACTCCGCATACTCGTCGGCTTGGTGTAGTTCAATGGTCAGTACCAAATGTGGAACTCCCTTGCTGCTGGCAACTACTGTTTGCTATGGTGAAGAAGTGAAGAATTGAAGATCGAAACTTTTTTCACCATACAGCTGCATTAAGGTAGTTTTATTTGGTAAGTTCATTTTTGCAAACACCTCTTGTGTTTTGATGCTTCTAAATTATTAGGATTTTTTTCACATGAGCCAAACAACATGTTTGGTGGGAACCATATATTTGATGCTAATACAAGAGAAAGTACTAGTATGATTTGACAGCTTGAATCGACATGGGAATTCAGATTAAGATCCAACCTTACAAGTTGTAATGTGATTGGAAATTGGTAAAGGTGCTAATTAATATGAAAAAAAAGGTGGGGATTTTAATTTAAATGGGCAAACATGCTATAGGGATATGTATCAATTGTCTGTGCAGTCTCTTCATGCTGCATCCCTTGACTTTGTTCAGAAGTTCTGAAATAACCAGATGACTGAAGTAATGAAGCACCTTCAACATGATAGTAGTCTGGCATTTGCATGTGATTGTAGTTAGTGGGAATCTCTGAACGACCCTGAATCTGTATAAGGCAAATAATAATCAGTAGCACTAATAAGAGAGTCTCTTTTGCCAAGTGTGTGTGTGTGTGTATTTTGAATCTACTGACCTGCATCATGGTGTATGGCAGTGATGGTGTTACCACCTCTGCTTGTACTGGACACTTTGATGTGTTTGAATCACTCTTTTTCTTTTTACTCCGTTGTGTTGCCTTGTCAAAACCACCAATTGGTCTCCTCGACCCACGAATGGCTTTCTCCTTAACCTTTATGCCTCTTGCTTTACTCGGGCCAACATTTTCCTCTGTGCCTATGATAAAATATTTTTGAGATAGCTGATTTAGATTATAACATAGTAGTCACTAGCATAAGTACTATTCAACTCAGAGTAGCATACAAACCAGATTTATCCAAATCTGGATCATGCCTTATACTCAAGTATTTCTCCACATCTTCTGCTAACTTTTGTGCATTGTTGGCAGCCATTAAGTATGTTTCATCAGATTCTGCAGCTCAAGATGCTATTTTAACAAACATTCTGCACAAGTCTCTCCTGCGCGTTGATAACTTTATTTTAGGATCTTCATGAGTACTACAGTTGCTCTTTATATGTAGAGATTTTGCATCAATGGTCCATCTTTGTAGTATGTATTGCTTATGAATTTCTTTTATATTGTTAACATCAAGTATCTTCAATGCATGGCAACATAGGATTCCGAGAAATTCAAACTTCTTGCAGCTGCACCTGACTTTACCTTCTGTTGGAGAAAATTTTACAACATGCTCATGGTGCTTACCGTGAACTTTTAATTTGTACACCATTTCAGCATCAATATCACCACAGTAGTATAGGTCACAGTTCAATGTTTGCAACACTTGTTCCTGAAACACTTTAAATATTGTTGGAGTATAAATTCTTGTTGCTTGCCTTAATATTGTCAAATCTGCTTTCGGCCATGGTGTACTTTATGTTGTCTTAAAGTCATTTTTGACTTCCTCATATCTTTTGTCTGACAACAACCTGTCAAAGTGTTCCAAGAAGGTAAGTATGTCATATTTCACACTGATATAGCCCTTCAATTCATTGTTCATGCTCTCACTTCTCTGTGTTCCACTCATATCAGTAGAAAATGTGTTTCTCCCATACACTAATGCCCATTGCTCTTTTTTTTTTGAAATAGCCTCTCAAGCCATTTGTTCTCCTGCAGATCATACTTTTCAAGCATTCTATTCCATGCATTTATAAATTCATCTTCCTCCTCTTTGTCATAAATACAATTCTGAAAATCTTCATTGAATTTCTTGTACTCCTTCACAACTCCAGCAAGGTGTTTGCAGGCATTCTGGTTCATATGCCAAACACAAATTCTATGATGACTTTCTGGCATGACTAACTTGATTGCTTTGGCCATTGCTGCGTCTTCATCAGTCAATATAGTCTGTGGCTTCTTTCCAGACATGGCTTTTAAAAATGTCTTGAAAAGCCAAACAAAACTATCAGCAGTTTCATCATACAAAAGTGCAGCACCAAAAACAACGCTTTTCTTATGATTATCCACACCAACAAGCAAACCAAATGGACGACCATCATTTAGTTTTCTATATGTTGTGTCAAAACAAAGAACATCACCAAAAACTTCATAATCAGCAATCATTTTAGAATCAGTCCAGAAAATATTTGTTATCAAGTCATCCTCATCAACTAGAATGGAATAGAAAAAATTAACATCTTCCGATGATTTTTTCTCCATATATTCCAAGACTCCCCCTGTGTCACCTTCGTTTACCTTCAATGACCTCTTTGAATATAATCTATTCTTCATGTCTTCACGAGTAAATCCAAGATTCTCATATCCACCCGCTTCTTTTGCCATTAAATCAATAGTAGCCTTATTAGAAATGCCTACTGATTTTGCATTTTCAGCACTTGCCATCTGTGCTTCAGTTATTTTCCTTTGAGATCTTAAGTAGAGGGCCTGACTTCCAGTAGCAAGAATGTGGTTATGCTCGTGCAAGAATTCATATATGCAATACAATCCATCATCCCTAAGACTTATTTTCATGCATGCTCGGCACATACATCGTGTTTCTGGCCTACTAAAACACTGACCGTAATTTGAAATTTGGTCTTCTCTTTTATCATGACCACGAGTACCTATTGTTAAATAAAACTAACTCAGTATATGAATTCTATATGAACACTAAACATTGTAAATATAAGTTGGAACTAGTACCTGCACGAGAACAACAAAATGTCCGATTCTTTATTATGGTGGAATCTTTCACATAATGGTAACTGCTTCTTCGAATGCTAAAACCCATGTCTCGAGCATAGGCATTATAGAAATCATATGCCTCTTGTTCACTGTTGAATTTCATACCGATGATTGGTGCCTTCCCTTTGGAGGGATCTGCTTGTGGAGTAGCTTCAATTTTACTAGGATCTTGATTAATATACCCGTTTTTTATCTGAGACAAATTAGAAAAAAAGAAAAACTTTCATGAAACTTACAGAAAAAAAAGGGCTAATAGAAAAGAAGCAAAACTTCTATGAGATTTACTGATATGATGTGCTTGTAGTGATCAAGTCTCAATGATTACTAATAAAAGAAAGTGAAAACATTATGAAGTCTTACCGTCTCTAATTCCCCTTCTAGGTTACCATGAAAGCTTGTCCCTGGATGATGCAGTACAAACGTTCCAGCAGAGGCAGCTGGTTCCGTCGGCATGGTTGTCACTTGTTCATGCAGTGAATCGGTGACCTTGATTGACCTTGGAAGATTAGATAGAGAGGCCATTGTTGTTGCGAAGAAGATGATTGTGATCCGATAATAATGTGCCATATGTAAAGCTTAATCTATTTTCTGAAAAACTGTCTAATGGTTTGGCGTCTTAATTTTTATTTGGCGCCTTTGTTTCCCTGGAGGGCCACGCTAATTAGGATTAATCGCTAACTGCGTAATCTGGTGATTGACGGAGAGAATAATCCTGTAATCTCCGTTTATGGTGGGGCCACACAAAAAGAATCGACAAACGGATGCCCTCCACGTGGTACGAAACACGGATAGAAACACAACAACGGAACAGTGAAGCCGCAGCCCTTTACATTGGCCAGGATTTCCACGCACGTGCCGAAAGTGTCCAAATGGCATCGACCGAGACCACAGGGAACAAAGCCACCGGCGAACGACTCCACGCCGGAGTTTGACTCCCTCGCTGGACACAGTCTGGTCCCGTGCAGCACGCATGACAGTATCCAGTATTTCAACACAACAATCTATTCGAATTATCGAGCTGGAAAACTGATTAGAAAAAAAAGAAGTACAGAAAACGAGAATGAGACAGGAGGATAGATAGGCCAACGAGGATAGAAGCTGCTGAACTGAGGCAGTATGAGGCTGGCAGCAAGTTTCATTGTCGCTTGCATCACTGTCTATCCGTTTAGAGTATAGACACTCTCTCCACAATTCCACATTATCAGGGTTTGATATTTCGGACTGAAATTTCGATCATTTTGCGGACCCCTCCGATACGATATTATTTGGGCCAAAATTTTGATTTTTTTAATTTTTTATGAATTTCGGTAATATTTGTTCAAATTTGACTAAATTTTGTTCTAAAATTTGGAAATTTCAGAAATTTCGTTATATTGGTACTGCCCGATACAAAGGCCGAAAACGAGAAAGTGAACCCTGATCATGACTCGTGAGACTAACCTGAGTTGTTCTCTGAATTAGTCCAACTGTCCAAGACAATGAAACTTGCTGCTTCTGTGATCACTGATCAGTCATCAGTCTGTGTACAATTTCCTGCGTTCATAATATATAACAGAATAAGGCAGGTGGAAAAATGCTGGCCATATCAAGGCAACAGGCTGGCATGGACCGACGAAAACAACACTGGTAACAGGATATGAATGGGCATGCAGGAATGGTGCAAATTTATGTCCGCTCCTGGAGCTTTTATATGTGTGCCGAGCAAGCATATATACATCTGCAGTACAATTGGAGCATCAACCCAAGACAGCAGCAAAATGATGATATCCACCAAGCAACGCCTCCTCACTCCCATTCTCATTCTCCTCATTTGTTGTTACTCCATAGTCACTGCAGCCAACAATGACACAACCGTCCCTTGTCTCCCAGAGCAAGCTTCTTCCCTCCTACAGCTCAAAAATTCCTTCATCAATAATGCAAACTTATCGTCATGGCGAGCTGGATCGGACTGCTGCCACTGGGAGGGCATCACATGTGGTATGGCCTCCGGCAGGGTCATTTCCCTTGACCTCAGTGAGTTGAACTTGATGAGCAATCGTCTCGATGCTGCACTCTTTAACCTCACCTCTCTTACAAACCTTAACCTTGCTTCCAATTACTTTTGGAGAGCCGAACTCCCAGTATCTGGGTTTGAGAGGCTCACAGATATGATCCACCTCAACTTCTCACACAGCAACTTTTATGGTCAGATCCCCATTGGACTTGCTTGCCTCATGAAACTTGTCACTCTTGACTTTTCTAGTAATGATGGGTTGTATTTCGATGAACCAAGTTTCCAAACCGTCATGGCAAACATGAGCAACCTGAGGGAGCTCCATCTTGATGAGATAGAAATTTTCGGATCAACTTGGTCAGTTGTTTTAGCAGACAACATTCCTCAACTCGAGATTCTTAGCTTGTTTGCGTGCCGTATATCTGGTCCTATTCACTCTTCCTTCTCAAGGCTTCGTTCCTTAAAGGTGATCAACCTTGGATACAATTTTGGACTCCCCAGCAAAGTTCCTGAGTTCTGTGCTGAATTATCTTCTTTGAGCATTCTTGAAATTGCAGGCAATTCTTTTGAAGGGCAGTTCCCAACAAAAATCTTCCACCTAAAAAGTTTGAGAACGCTTGATTTGTCTCATAACCCCAATCTTTCTATTAACCTACCAGAATTCCCTGATGGAAATAATCTAGAAACACTAGGTCTAGCAGCAACCAATTTATCTTATCACATACCGTCCTCATTTGCCAATCTCAAGTCCTTGAAGCGTTTGGGTATGAGCACGGCACGAACTTCCAAGGAGCTGCCCTCTTTATTAGATAAGCTTCCTTCATTGACAGAACTGGAATTGCAAGGATCGGAATCAGGCTTGGAGAAGGCGGTATTATCTTGGGTAGGCAACCTTAAGCAGCTGACTGCTTTGGAGCTTGTATCGTACGATTTCTCTGAATCGGCACCCTCCTGGATAGGCAATTTGACGAATTTGAAGTTTTTGTGGATCTGGGACTGCAATTTCTCTGGGTCAATAATACCATATCAGATTGGCAATCTTGCAAAATTGGAGACCTTGGACTTTAGAGGGTGCGAGTTCTTTGGACAGCAAATACCACCGTGGATCGGTAATTTTACGAAGTTGGCAAATTTAGAGATGGATAGTTGTGGCTTCTCTGGGTCGATACCCTCAACAATAGGGAATCTGACCCAACTGGAAAGTCTGCGGATCACATCTAATCCCCAACTCAACGGTAAGTCTTTATACGACGGCTACTTCTTCCTTCATACATATGCAATTTAAAATATCATCATAAAATAAATTTATTCAAAATGCCACCAAGCGAGTGCTGTCGAACACTCAAAAGCTTAAGTAGTAATATATATATTTCTGTATTTTGATTTGGAACGTGAAAACACACATAGTAGATAACATGATAGACTGGTAGTGGTGGAGCAAGTTCCACGTTCTGTTTGATAATTGTGGCTCGCATCTAGATATTAACATCCACCTACAGTAAATCAATGGCGTCTATTTTCAAAAACTTACAACATTTTCCTATCTACAACTAATCTAGGAGCTTAGAAATCTATTGCTACTAAAATATTATAATAGAATGCTAAAAGGAGTAACATGTTTGTTTTGAGAGCCTAGAAGTTACCATGTTAATTGGTGAAAAAAAGAGAATAATGCACACGGATTAATCGGAACGGGTCCATATTATATTATAACAACTAGCATGGTGCCCCGCACAAATTGCGCGGCTAGCATTCTTATATTATAGTAGCATATATTTTTTTTCTTATTTTTTATTAAAATATCATAAATAACAAGATAATTTAAAATTGTACTAACTTGAATAAACTATCAATGTGCAATATTCATATTATGTTGTATATATGTGATAGGTATTAATTATTTTTTTAATACCGAATTTTAGTTATTTCTAAATTATATTGCTAGATGGACTCTAGACTCCTCTTCCAACATTCTTTAATTTTTTTTAATTATGAATTTCTATAATTTATAAATTGTGTTCCTATATTTTTATTTTAAATTCAAATTTTTAGTTATTTCTAAATTATACTCCTATATGAACTCTAGACTCCTCTTCCAATATTTCATATTTTTCAATTCCGAATTTCCGTTATTTATAAATTGTGTTTCTATATGGACTGTAGACTATAATTATAATATTGCTTTTTTAAAAAAAATGAACTTTTCATTATTTCTAATTTAATTTCTATATAGACTCTAAACTCATCTTTCGATATTATTTATTTTTTAATTTCAAATTTCAGTTACTTCGGAATTGTATTCCTATATGGACTCTAGACTATTGTTCCAAATTTTATTTTCTAATTTCTAATTTTAGTTATTTGTAAATTGTATTTCCATAATTACTCTAAACTCTACTTTTAATTTTATTATTTTTATTCTGAATTTTAATTAATTCTAAATTCCTATATAGACTTTATACTCTTCTTCCAATATTCCTTATTTTAATTCCTAATTTTTATTATTTCTAAATTTTATTTCTATATAGACTCTAAACTTATCTTTCAATATTTCTTTTTTTTAATTCTGAATTTTAATTATTTTTAAATTATATTTCTATATGGACTCTATATTCTTCTTTCAATATTCCTTTTTTTAAATTTCGATTTTTCGTTATTTCTAAATTTTATTTTCTATATGAACTCTAACCTCTATTTTTATTTTTCTTATTTTTTAATTCCGAATTTCCATTAATTCTATTGTATACTGGTTGTATACTGGTACAGACCCTAGTCTTCTCGTCCTATATTCCTTATTTCTAATTCTGAATTTCAGCTATTTTTAAATTGTATTTCTATATGAACTCTGTCTATTTCTTTCTATCCTATTAATATAAGAATTTTTAGACCATGAGAGTGAATTTTTTTTATTTCAAATTTTCGTTATTTCTAAATTGTATTTCTATATGAACTCTAACCTCTACTTTTATTTTTTTTCTTATTTTTTTAATTCCGAACTTCCATTAGTTCTATTGTATAATGGTATGGACTCTAGTCTTCTCTTACTACATTCCTTCTTTTTAATTCTGAATTTCAGCTATTTTTAAATTTTATCTTCTCTACTTTTATTTTTAAATTTTATTCCTGTATGGACTCTTTTTTTCCTATTTCTTCGATTAATATGAGAATTTCTAGGCCATAAGAGCGAATATGGAGCCTTCTTTTTTATTTATTTAATAAGTTAAAGGGAAGATGCTTATTGGTCCATGGTTTTATTATATAAAAGGGAAAAGCTAAACGTATGAACAATTTGTTACCAACTTTTTTACAAACGTTGATGTGACACATCCACTACTGCAAAATTGATTTTTGGACGAGACCCCCTCCAAGTTGTAGGTGGACCATAACTACTTTCGCCTGTAAAAATTGCTCCTTTGAGTACGGTTCAAGGGTCGCATGCAAAAATATATTTTGCAGATGACCCTTAAGAGGCCTGCCTGCAATGTTGCACCTTAAGGGGTCTCTTACGAAAATAGATTTTCGCAAGTGAGCAACATGGAGAGCAAGTGGGCCACACGCGTCACCGCACTACATTTTTTCATATTTTTTTCTCCTCTCCACTCACGCACACTACTTATTTTCTCTTCTCTCCTTGGCTCCACCTCCCATCACTCCTCTCCTACTCCCTCTCCTCATCTCTTTCCCATTCCCTCCCTTCTCTTCTTCAGCGACTGAGATGGAGGCGACAGTAGGCTCACTCAGGTGCGATGTTGACGCGCGTGACGACAGTGCCGGCGACAGCAAATACAGCAACGACCTCGAGGGCAGCTGATCCGGTGGCGCCGCCCTAGGCCCCGGGAGGGGCGACGACAATGGCGGGCGGTGGATCCGACAGCGCCGTCCTCGAGGGGCAACGACGAGCTCAAAGAGGATGGGAAGCTAGAGTTTTGGCCGAAATTGTTTTTGTGGAACTTTTATTTGTTTTCTCCAAAATCATTTTCGCAGCGGTTGGCATAGGTGACCACGTGAACATCATGTTTTTGCATGCGGTTACTCAACATGCATGGGAAAATGTTGATTTTCGCATATACCTAGGTTCAGGCGGGCCGTCTAGCTGCCTGCGAAAATTGATTTTGATCACATGCAAAAAATGATTTTGTAGTAGTGATCATGGTTAAATCTTTATTAGTGCCTTCCAAGTAACTAAATCAAACTTTGTTAGTAGAATTTTATAAAAAATGTTTTAGTATCTCTAGCAAACAATTATATATATAGAACCAAAAGCAATGCTTCTTTTTATCAAATACAATATTTTAAATAAATGTTAATGTAACCATGTGCAATATTACGGAAAATCAGCTTAGTTTGGTTAACTCGGACGAATGAGTTGTCTTGGTTCAAGTGCGTCCTAAGGTACCAGACTGTCAGTTCAGTGAACATTCATCTTTGAACTTTTTGACTAGTATACTGCACTTGCATGCAGGGAAAATTCCACAATCGTTGTTCGCTCTTCCGAGGCTGGAAAATGTTTACCTTCAAGAAAACCAGCTTTCTGGTTCACTAGAAGACATTCCTTACCCTTTAACTTCATCTCTGTTATGTATTGACTTAGCCAACAATCAACTATCAGGCCCGATACCCAACTCACTTTTTCATCTTACAAATCTTAATTATCTCATTCTTGAATCAAATAAATTCACAGGCACAGTTGAACTTAGCTCTGTCTGGAAGCAGAAGAATCTATTTATCCTAAGCCTGTCAAACAATTTGATATCACTCATAGATGATGAAGGTTAAACAGTGCCTCCTTATCTTCCTAACATCAAGTACTTATACCTGTCATCTTGCAACCTTACAAAAATTCCAGGCACATTAAAATATCTTGATGCGGTTTCCCTTCTTGACCTTTCGAGTAATCAAATAACGGGGGCTATACCAAATTGGATATGGGAGAATTGGAAGGGCCACCTTAATATTTTGAACCTCTCGTGCAACATGTTAACTACTTTGGAACAATCTCCTTCTCTTGTTAATATGTCCAATTTAGCTTATCTTGATCTCAGTTTCAATAGACTTCAAGGAAGCATACCAATACCAGTAACCACATCCAGTGAGATCGCATTGGACTACTCAAACAACCACTTCTCTTCAATAGTACCGAACTTTGGCATATATCTTGAAAACGCCAGCTATATTAATTTCTCCAATAATAAACTAAGTGGCAATGTACCATCTTCGATTTGTAATGCAAGCAAAGCCATTATCACGGACTTATCTGGCAACAACTACAGTGGATCAGTACCAGCATGTCTTACAGGAAGTGTAAACTTAAGCGTATTGAAATTGAGAGACAACCAATTCCATGGGGTGTTACCTAACAATAGTAGAGAGGGGTGCAATCTTCAGTCAATAGATGTGAATGGAAACCAAATTGAAGGTAAACTACCTAGATCACTATCATACTGCCAATATTTGGAGCTCCTGGATGCTGGAAATAATCAGATTGTTGATTCTTTTCCATTTTGGTTGGGTAAACTTCCAAATCTCCGAGTCCTTGTCTTAAGATCCAACAAACTCAATGGCACAATAAGGGGTCTTAAAGGTTGTCACCAAAATTGTAATCACTTCAAAAGGTTGCAAATAATTGATTTGGCCTCCAACCATTTCTCTGGCAACATACATCCAGAATGGTTTGAGCATTTTCAATCAATGATGGAAAATGACAACGATGAGGGACACATATTAGAGCATACCACAAACACAAAAATACCATTGCTCTATCAGGATATTACGGTTGTCAATTACAAAGGGGGCACTCTTATGTTCACTAAAATCCTAACCACCTTCAAAGTAATTGATCTCTCAGATAACTCATTTGGTGGTCCTATTCCAAAGTCATTGGGGAAGCTTGTTTCACTACGTGGACTTAACCTGTCACACAATGCCTTCACAGGACACATTCCATCGCAGCTTAATTCTCTGACTCAGCTGGAGTCATTGGATCTCTCTTGGAACAAACTCTCAGGGGAAATCCCTCCTGAGTTAGCTTCTCTAACTTCTCTTGCTTGGTTGAATCTTTCGTACAACAACTTGACCAGAAGAATACCGCAGGGTAACCAGTTCGGGTCATTTAGCAACAGCTCCTTTGAAGGTAATGTCAACCTCTGTGGAAAGCCACTCTCTAAACAATGTGATACTCCAGGCTCAACATCTCCAAGTGCATCAGCTCCTTCAGGTACCAACAGTTTCTGGCAGGACAGACTTGGCGTGATCCTTTTGTTCATCTTTTCTGGCCTGGGGTTCACAGTGGGCTTCATATTGGCAGTCTGGTTCGAATCATTGTGCCACATAGAACGATGGAATCGCAAAAAACGATGATTGTTAGTATACACTATATGTATGGTGTTTATCCACCTACGGACATGATATATGTGTATGTGTGTACTCGTAATTAGTGAGAATTTAAATTCATTTTCTGTTGATAAGAATGCAGCCTTCTGCTTTGCATAGTTTTGTATATGTGATTATCAGGTCTAGTGGCGCCATCTATAAGCAATGTGCTCTTTGCGCTAACCTGTGCGGTGGGCCGGTGGCGCATTCTCTTGAACACCTGGTGGCCCTCGTGGTGTGGTGGTGGAAGAAGAGGGCGATGACGAAGCAGACGGACAGGACGGGACATCCCAGTAGCGATCCATTGATTGCCGACTGCAATATCTGCTTGAAAAGTGCAACATCTGGAACCTTGGATACCATCTCACCTTCCTCTCCGCCCCCCTCATCCTCACCCCCTTACAACCTCATGCCCCATTCCGGCGAGGTCCAAGTGGTGGCGGTTATCACGGATTGGGATGTGCGGGACCGCCTGAGGTGGGGGAGAAGGACAGCGAGGGGTGGAAGTCTCGCCGCAGCTGGTGGCGGCGCCGCCGCAGGCCCTCCAGGGCGGCATGCGCTTCAGCCTTCAGGCAGGGCGTGCACCATGCAGGAGAGGGAGATCGTTCCGAGCTCGCCAGGAGGATGGCCGGGAGAGATCCCCGCCCTTGTGCAGACGCTGCCGCCTCTGACCCGCCGCTGCACATCTTCAATCGCCGGCCGGGTCGCCGGGAAAGCAGCCGGAGGCGGGACATGGCCGCGGCCCCGTCTGGTGTTCGCCGCAACATAACAGGCTTTCCGTGGGCCTCCAAACATCTCGGCCCGTACATGTCGAAGTAGTTGACCTAGTAAACGGCCCACTGCCTAGACAGCACATGGACACATGGATGGGCCGACAACATCACGGCCTGTTCAGAGACCGCACCATCGGTCTATCGCGCTCACCCGCCCAGTCACGGTCTCACGGAGGCGTAGAAGTGATCGAAGTGTTAAATCCTAGATTTCACACTGCTAATTGTATTTCTTTTAATGGTAGATGTACACGTTGACGGCAAGGCGCATGTAATAATTTTATTAATCTTAAGATATACCGATCCAGTCTTCCGGAGGTGTTTATAGGGATAGGATGAGTATGTGCGCGTTGTGAGCGCTTGTGTTTGTGCTGTGTTTTTTAAAAATGAAAAATGGTTTTGCGACTAAACTACATGTTGGTGACGTGACGCTGGCAAAGTATGCACGGCAGCTAGCTGGCCAGCTGGTGCTATCGGATTTGTATGTTTCGTGGTACTTCTGTGTTCATCGTCTGACCAGGGCACGGCCGCGACAACGACGCATGTACACTTGTTCACAGCCAGTTCAATCTCTAAGTGCGATTGACGTCTCGCACGATTACGATGCCAAGTTGTCAATGGCTTCGTTTCAACAAAAAAACATTTGCCTTGACTTGAATAATCTACCTTTCTGGCCATAGGCAGATAGCCAGATATGTAGGAAGTTTTTAAAAATCGAGCTTACAAAAGGGCATTTTCCCTAAGCATAAAGTCCAATCGAAGATTGTAAATCTTCTTGTGCTCAAACAAAGGATCTCTGTCTGAGTCAGACAGTCATAAAATTAGTTGTTTCAAGCATACAACAATCAAAGGCGCCAAAATGTGTACCAGGCAAGCTCGACGACGGTACTACGAGACATCGTTACTCGTACTGATGCTCCTCCTCCTCCTACAAGCTAGGCTCGCGCAATCGCTTCCTCCATGCTCGCCGGACCAGGCCACGGCGCTGCTCCAGCTGAAGCGGTCGTTCACCGTGAACACCGCGTCGGCCACCGCCTTCCGGTCATGGCGCGCTGGCACCGACTGCTGCCACTGGGCGGGCGTCCGCTGCGACGACGACGACAACGACGCCGCCGCGAGCGGGAGCACCGGCCGCCGCGCCACTTCCCTCGATCTCGGCGGCCGCGGCCTGCAGAGCGGCGGCCTTGACGCTGCCGTCTTCAGCCTCACGTCGCTGGGGTATCTCAACCTCGGCGGCAACGACTTCAACGCGTCACGGCTCCCGGCCGTCGGGTTCGAGCGGCTCACCGAGCTGACCCATCTCAACATCTCCCCACCCAGCTTCACAGGCCAGATACCGGCAGGTATAGGACGCCTCACCAACTTGGTTTCTCTCGATTTATCAACTCTTTTCTATGTGATCAATCAAGAAGACGATCGTGCCGATATCATGGCACCTTCGTTTCCCAACTGGGGCTTCTGGAAGGTAGATTTTCTGAGGTTGGTTGCAAATCTTGACAATCTGAGGGAGCTCTATCTTGGCTTTGTGTATATGTCCAATGGAGGGGAAGGATGGTGCAACGCTCTGGTTAATTCCACTCCAAAAGATCAGGTTCTGAGCCTACCATTTTGCAAGATCTCAGGTCCCATCTGTCAGTCTCTCTTCAGCTTGCCATATCTCTGTTGTTGACTTGCAAGAAAATGACTTGTATGACCTGAGTTCTTCGCCGATTTGTCCTCCCTTGGTGTTCTTCAACTCTCAAGAAACAAGTTGGAGGGTTTATTTCCAGCAAGGATCTTCCAGAACAGAAAATTAACAACCGTAGATATTAGCTACAACTACGAAATCTATGGCAGTTTTCCCAATTTTTCACCCAATAGTAGTTTGATCAATTTGCATCTCAGTGGTACCAAGTTCTCTGGTCAGATACCAACCTCCATTTCTAATCTCACAGGTCTGAAAGAGCTGGGTCTTAGTGCCAATGATTTCCCTACAGAGCTACCATCTTCTCTAGGAATGCTTAAATCCTTGAACTTATTAGAGGTTTCTGGGCAAGGCCTAGTAGGATCAATGCCAGCTTGGATAACAAATCTAACATCTCTGACAGAGCTTCAGTTTTCTAATTGTGGCTTGTCTGGATCATTACCATCTTCCATAGGCAATCTCAGAAATCTCAGGAGACTATCTTTATTCAAGTGCAGTTTTTCTGGAAACATACCATTGCAAATATTTAACTTGACACAACTGCGGAGCTTGGAACTTCCAATCAACAACTTTGTGGGGACAGTGGAACTTACCTCATTCTGGAGACTACCATATTTATCAGACCTTGCTCTTCAAATAATAAATTATCTGTGGTGGACGGTTTAGTCAATGACTCAGTAGTGCGTTCTCCCAAAGTAGCAGAATTGAGCCTAGCATCCTGCAACATATCAAAGTTTCCCAATGCAGTAAAGCATCAAGATGAGCTACACGTAATTGACCTTTCAAATAACCAAATGCATGGGCCAATACCTCGATGGGCATGGGAAACTTGGAAGGAATTGTTCTTCTTGGACCTGTCAAATAATAAGTTTACCAGTATAGGACACGACTCTTTGCTCCCCTGCTTGTACACAAGATACATCAATCTCAGTTATAACATGTTTGAAGGGCCCATACCTATACCTAAAGAGAATTCAGACTTGGAGTTAGATTACTCAAATAATCGGTTTTCGTATATGCCATTTGATTTAATTCCTTATCTTGCCGGTATACTATCTCTAAAGGCCTCTAGGAACAATATCTCTGGAGAAATCCCATCAACATTCTGCACTGTTAAGAGTCTTCAAATCCTTGACCTCTCCTACAATATCTTAAATGGTTCAATTCCTTCTTGCTTAATGGAGAATTCTTCAACAATAAAAGTACTAAACTTGAAGGCGAACCAACTTAACGGAGAGTTGCCGCACAATATCAAGGAAGATTGTGCATTTGAGGCATTGGATTTCAGCTACAATCGATTTGAAGGGCAACTGCCCACATCATTAGTTGCTTGCAAAAACTTGGTGGTACTTGATGTTGGGAACAATCAAATTGGAGGCTCTTTCCCATGTTGGATGCATCTTCTTCCTAAACTTCAAGTCCTTGTCCTGAAGTCCAATAAGTTCTACGGACAGTTGGGGCCTACTCTTACCAAAGATGATGACTGTGAATTACAGCATCTCCGAATTCTTGATCTAGCTTCAAACAATTTCTCGGGCATATTGCCTGATGAATGGTTTAGGAAATTAAAAGCTATGATGTCAGTCTCCAGTAACGAAATATTGGTCATGAAAGATGGAGATATGTATGGCACATATAACCATATAACATATCTTTTTACTACTACGGTTACATATAAAGGACTTGACTTGACATTTACTAAGATCTTAAAGACCTTTGTACTAATTGATGTCTCAAACAATAGGTTCCATGGCAGCATTCCTGAAACTATTGCCACACTAAGCGTGCTCAGTGGTCTCAACATGTCACATAATGCTCTTACAGGACCAATTCCCAACCAGCTTGCTAGTCTGCATCAACTTGAGTCTTTGGACCTCTCTTCAAATAAGCTTTCTGGGGAGATCCCTCAAAAATTAGCATCCTTGGACTTCCTATCAACATTGAACCTATCAAATAATATGCTGGAGGGAAGAATACCAGAGTCACCTCATTTCTTGACACTCCACAATAGTTCATTTATAAGAAATGCTGGTTTGTGTGGGCCTCCACTGTCAAACGAATGCAGCAACAAATCAACATCTTCTGAAGAGAAATCTGTAGACGTTATGCTATTTCTCTTCGTTGGATTGGGTTTTGGTGTTGGGTTCGCTATTGCAGTTGTAGTTTCATGGAAACCTTGCATTGGCAAATAATCTTTGAAGGAATCCACCCTTTTTTTATATTTATCTGTTCAGGAGTCTGCCAGTCTGCTTCCCCTTGTAATTTTAGCTGTAATTGTAGCTAGCATGTATATAATACTATGTGCATGGACAACACTTTTCCATCATGCATGCATCCTATAAGATTAGTTGTTTATTACCTTGAAAATTTTATACAAGCCAACAAACAATTGTTATGTCTGAAACAAGAAAGGAATTGAAATGCATGACCTGTATGTGGCATTATTAGGGTCAGTTTAACTTGTAGCATAGATCAGTGAGCTATATATCATGATCTTGTGTTTGAAGTACATACTTACGCAGAACTTACTTTGAGTACCAAACAACCATACTAGAACAAAATTTTCTGTGTGAAGAACTGAAGTCTGAAGATCACATAATTACGCGTTGGAATGAAACTTTCTGTGAAAAGATCACTTGCAATACAATTGTAATCAGAGTTATATGCTGTTATTCTTACTAGTTGTGTAATACTAGCCCGAATCTTGTATGTGGACCAAATTAGGTAAACATATAGGAACTAAAACTAAATGATGTCATCCGAGAACAATGCACAAGCAAAGCTTAAAATAAACTGAAATAAGAAAACGAAATTCATTAATAAAAACTAAAACTACACGATTCTTTATTAAGTATCAGCTCTACATCTATATCTAAAACTAAAACGGCGTCATATATCAGGTCGCACATTGAACTGCTAGTCTCCTAATAGGCCAATACCACAGCAGAGCAGGAAAATCAACACCGGAACACTAAGCTGCATTCGTAATTTGGTACTAGAATCGTAGTAATTCCAAAATGGGTTCATAATATTCGAGAAATCCTAGATTTCACACACTAACCTGTGCAATGCAGCTGATGGCAGGACCATTCCATCAAACACCTGGCGTGCAGAGCTCCTGAGGACATCGCCATATGGTGACCACATTGGTTGGTCCAATTGGTTGGGATTTCGGTGTACGGGCTGCGGTGGTGGGAATGGGATAGGGGAGTTCGCCGAGTACTCCAACTCCAAAGTGGGATGAAGCGGAGGAGGGGACGACGAGGGGAAGGGCTCGCAAGTGGTGGCCGCTCCTCTCTCTCTCTCTCTCTCGGGTAGTTAACTCATCATATCTTCCTATATAGTTGTACCCACTAAGGAGCATTTACTTGTATAAAGCAAAGCATATAAGAAACCACATCATCAATAATTCTAAGCCATCGAGTTGTATTAGTACATAGTTATCAGCCGTTGGATAAAGAAGCTACTCATCCATTTAATTTAATCATTGATTACTCATCCAGTCACCTCCATTTAACTCATAATCACGCGTGACATTGTTATCCATTTTGCGCATAATACTATGTTTTCTTCTCCCAAGTCATCCGAGATAATGCAAACTTATCTTTTTCTAATATAACTTAAATTATTGTATAAGATGCGATTTTTGTTTTGTTATAAACAATTGGATAACATAAGGTAATTAGACATCATTAACATAAACCTATTTTTGAAACAAGCTTGATATAAAGCAAAGAGGTGCAGGATACTCTAATAGACGACATCCAGATTGTGCATGAAAATAACTTTCGTGCATCATAAGAAATCACAATAACGTTTAAAAAAATAAAAGATGAATGGTATTGTAATAGCATAGGCTATATATTAAGCCACATTATCATTTATTTTGTATATATACAGAGTTACATCTAATCATTTAAAATATTGATTTTATTTGACGATAAAACTAGCAAATCCCGCGGCAAGACGTGGGGTGCCAACTAGTTCATCATATGACAAAACCAATGAACATGCAACCAATAAGTACTAAAATGATTTCTTGGGTTCCGATAAAAAAAATTAATATAGCACATAGTGACTACAAATAAAATGACTTCTTGGGTTTCGATCAAAAATTTAATATAGCACAGTGACTACAAATAGGACTTAGACTTTTGGAAAAACCAAATAATGAAATAGGACTTTGGCTTTTAGAAGGAGGGAGTACATCGTAGGCGTACAGCCGTACACGGCGACCGGCTACATCCTGTGCATATGTGGGTACTATGAAGTGTCATGTAGAACGAAACTGCTCCCGAAATAATGGAAGGAGTCGATTTTCAGTCCTTTTTGTTTCGGGTTAAAATTATTATAATCTAGATTATTAAGTCAGATAATAAGCTGGATTATAATAAGGGACTATCATATATCTGTTGACAGAAAATCCCATCTTCTATCTTTCGAATTTTGGACCATTGGATATGCTTTCAGATTCGTGCAGAACCCTTAACCATAACTCCTCTCCTCCTCCCCCGTTCAGATCGCGCCGCCACCACTCCTCATCCCGTCCCTCGCGCGATTCCCCGCCACCACCCCACCGCACCTTTGCCCGCCTCGCCGACTGGCCGGAAAGAGTCAACGGCGCCGGCGAGGACCCCTGGTGAGCCCTCTCCCCTTCCCCTCTCCCCTCTCCCCTCTCCCCCTTCTCCCCTCTCTTTCTTCTCAACACCGCGACGGCGAGGATGTGAGGTGCCCCCGCCTCGCTGTCTTCCCCGTATCTGGTGGCTCCCCGCCACTAGATCCGCAACCATCGTCCACCGCCTCCTAACCGCACGCTTGCTTTTCCCCTGCCACCAATGCCAGCCCACCGTCATCCTCCATCCCCGCGGCTCTGGCACTGCCGCCGGCGCCTCGCCGCCCGCCCGATCCGCCACCCACCGCCAGGCTGCCGCCTCCCACGGCCCTCCCTCTAAAGCCAGTGAGCTCCCCCTCTTCTCCCTCCCCCTCCCACCCCTCCCACCTCCACCACGTCCTAGGACCCTAACCCGTAGGGTCCTTTGCTGGAGTCTAGGGTGTCGCCAGCGCTGGAGAAGAGGAGGAGGTCACCAGAGTCAGAGGAGAAGGCCTGGAGCACGAATCGCGCAGCTCATCCGATGGTCCAAAATCTGTAAGATTTGGGGATATATTTTTTGTCGACAGAAGGTTAGCAATTCCGTTATAATTAACTAAAGTAGAATAATCTAAAAGATTGTGAGGGTATATCTGATTTTGCAATTAAGTGAGATAAAATAAACTTAAATTATGGAAGGAGTCGGTTTCCACTAGTTTTAAAAGGAGTTTTTTTTAGAAATAGTACAACTTTAATGGAAAATTAGAGTGAATTGCACTTTGGGCCATGTTTTATTACCAAAGTTTCACTTTGGACCACCCTGTACGTAATCTTTTCGCTTTGGACTAGGTAACTTTGCCTTTGTTGCACAGTGAACTACCCTAACTCTTTTCGCTTGTGATGTCTAGCGTCTCTTTAGACAAAAGTATGTCATGCATATAGGTATGAAAGTTTGCTGGCATGCCGTTAACAATTTGCTCGAAGTTATCGAAGAAATGAAAATGTGTTTTGGGGTGGTCCATTGTGCACTAGTCCAAAGTGAAAAGATTAGATAAAGGGTGGTACAAAGTGAAACTTTGGCAATAAAATATGGCCCAAAGTGAAATTATCTCGGAAAATTATAAAAGTAAATGCTGGTTGATAAAATTACAAATTTAGCATCTTGTCAAACAAGCATTGTTCAATAAGCATACCTGTCAAACAACAGCTTGGGCCGTTCGACAGGTTAGTTAGCTTGATTTACCCCCCTAAACTCGAAAATCGGACATTTGACACCCTAAACTCTTAAGACCGGACAAATTACCACCCTAACATGGTTCGAAGCGGTTTTCAGCCTACGTGGCACACACGTGGCGATACAGTCAGCAAAGATAAATAAAAAACAAGTGGGACCCACTTGTCAGCGTTTTTTTCCCTTCCCTTCTCTGCCTCTCTCTCTCGATTCGCAGAGAAGAGAGCACACGGCTACGGCGAACGTGACGCGCTCTGCCTCCGCCTCCACCACCGACCGCCCGAACTCGCCGCCTCCATCGCCGGTTGCCCGAGCTTGCTCTGTGTTCGCCGGCGGATGTGGTTGGACGGCCACGATGCCAACGACCAGGACGACGGACCGTTCGCCGCCTCCACCTCGTGAACAAGAGAAGCAGAGAAGGGAAGGGGAAAAATTGCCGGCTTCCCCGACGACCTCTGCCTCGCCGGCCCGCATGGCGTGTTTTGTGACGACGACGACGATGATGGCAACGCGTCCCATGTTGTCAGCATCTCGCTCGGCTACGTCTCTGACTTCTCTGCCAACCCGAGCTGCGCGGGCGCCCTCCGCCTCCGTCACCGCCACACTCCTCACGTCCGGCCTCCTCGCCGCCTCCTTCCCGCGCCTATGCAGCCTCTTCGTCTACGACTGCTTCGTTGGCGACGATAACACGCGACCGCTCCCGCCGCTCAAGTGGCAGCTCCCTCCCACGCTTCAGTCCAGGACCTCGTGCTCGTCAATAACCCCACGCTCTCCGGCCGCCTCGCCATCTCCACCGCTAGCCTCCCGCTCCTCCGCCGAACGCGGAGGCGGAGGGCGGAGCTGGGAGGCGAGTGGCGGTGCGCATGGCTAGGTCGCTCCGGCCGGCGGCGAGCAGCTGAAGCATCTAGGCCCCCGTTGTGAATTTTGGTAATTAATGACAAGCGCTAATTGTGGACTAACCGTTATCTTTGAGATATTCATTGTGAGTTAGGTTCACTTATTATGTACGCATGGATGATCACCGAAGGATTAAAATTGACGGCGCAAAGCGAAGGAAAAGAAGACGGTAAAACTAGTGCTTTAGTTTTAAATTGATCGAGGTGTAAGGCGATCAAATTTGCTAGTTTATCTTTAGCTTCGCCGTACTATTAAGAGGGGTAATGACCTAGCAAAGAGATGATTTTAATTGCCACATTAGGTCATTTGCATGTAGACTTGTGCTCACATTTTATCACACACACACACACATATGTATTCACTGTGTCTCGGCCTGACCAGGGGCGGTCAGACCGGCCACATAGTGGCGGTCTGACCAGAGTGCCCTGGCCGGTCTGACCGGCCCCAAGTGCGCGGTCTGACCGGTGCATAAGGCCAGTCTGACCGGAGGCACTTGTGCGGTCAGACCGGCCCCCTGGAGGCCGGGATGGTGTTGCTCGGGGTGGCCGATACAAAGCCGACGGAGTGGTATTCGGTCAGACCGAGCTAACGGCGGTCTGACCGAGCCGAGGCCGGTCTGACCGGCCACTCAACGTCGGTCTA